GGAAGTAAACTACTTAGAACTAAATACTTCAAAATACATACCGTTAAGCGGTTCATCTTATATCCCTGTTCCCCCTGAAATTGCGAAAAAGAAAGCTGTGTTAAACATTAAAAATACTGACACTAAATGTTTCCTCTGGGCAATTTTAGCAAGCCTCCACCCGTGTAATGATAGCAAGAGTGCGAATCGTGTTAGCAAATATAGAGAGTTCGAACATGAGCTAAATTTAAAAGGTATAACGTTCCCCATGAAATTAAACCAAATATCTAAATTTGAAAAGTTAAATAACTTGTCAATAAATGTATTCGGTAATGAAGAAAGTAACATTTTCCCCCTTCACTTATCCACAAATCGTAGCGGTGTACATCATATTAATCTCTTACTGATATCAAAGGACGAAACTCAACATTTTTGTTTGATTAAAAGCATGAGTAGACTATTATCTTCCTTAGTTGCGCATAGGTCGTCAACTTTTTACTGCGACTTTTGTCTCCATCGTTTTTACTCTAGAAATNTCGGGGGTTCTGCCGCACTTGCGAATCGGCTACTGCCGCACTTAAGGTCTATGACCTCTCTACCTTGAGATACGCTCGGGGGTTCTGCCGCACTTGCGAATCGGCTACTGCCGCACTTAAGGTCTATGACCTCTCTACCTTGAGATACGCTCGGGGATTCTGCCGCACTTGGAGATTTTTCTGAAATTGGGGGAGATTTTGACATCCCTTCTTTAGATAAAGGATTCCCAATAAAGCATAATAATTTCGTTAATTTTAAAAATGAACTCTTCTTCGGGCATTACATTTTTATTTATTTTAAACTACATGTCTAAAAATTCAATTATTGATTAAATAGTTTCATAATTAGAATGTTTATATTTAATTAGGTTTCTCAGTGAGCTGATCTCTAACGTGATAAGAAACGTTTTATTATTTATTCTTACTAGTCTTAAAATTTATCTATAGGAAAAGTATGTTCTTTAATGAATATTTTTAAAACTTGTTGTTAGAGCTGATAGGACTTTAAATTAAATATATGAAAGTGGGGACAATAATAAAACTTTATTTAAATTCTGAAAATTTATAACATTTTTATTATTTATAATTCATAAATGAAAGTTTGGAAAAAAATTACTTTCAAATTATTATTTATGTAGTGTTTACATTCTATCAGTTAATAATTGATAGGAAATTCTTAATTTTAGGACATTAGTTGTTTAAATAATGTGTCTATGGATATTGTGTATGATAAAACTTGAGAATTTCTGCTTACTCATTATCAGTGCTATGCAATGCATTTCTTTTAAAATTATTGTGATTAGGAAAATTTCTGGGAATAATGATAAATTGATGGTGACCTCATAAGGTTAAAAATGTTAAGTAAACATACATCAGACGATAAAATGAATTTTCGATAGGGATCACATTCGTGTTAAGCTCTGATTGGTTAAAGAGTGCTTGAAAAGCTCTGCTGTTCAGAAGTAAATATTACTTTTAAAAAGTTCTTTCTAGAAACAGCACTATTTCCTTTCTGTCCAAGATGAAACGTTCTTTCGATACGATGTTAGAAGGCAGCAGTACCCCCGCTCCTGCATCACCTACTACCGCGGAATCTTTCATTTTACCAAGTCATCATTACCATCTTGGTGGATTGAATTATGTGGCGGTCACGTACTTTTCCAACACTGTACTCATACACGTGAGGGAATATCTACGAGGGGAAAATGGAAAGTTAATTCCAACGAGGAAAGGCACTACACTGACTCCTTCTCTCTGGACAGCCTTCTTAAAGAAGTCAAAGGATTGCAAAGAATCAGTGATGGCGGGTGATCCTGTTGTTCTCAACGACAACCTGTTCATTTCGAAAGCGGATCTCGACATCGGAACGCATGTTACTTTTCAAAGATTTTTCAAAAAAAGAGACTTTACTCGTCAATTTTGTGCATCAATGTGTATTCTATCTGAACAAGAGTTTGAGAAACTTTCGGGTGACCTCGTTCTACAAAAAAATATCGCATCCTCTATCATCTCACTTCTATACACTAATGTGTTTCCAGTCGTTGTGTTGAATGAAGTAAAAAAACAACAGCTGCCCGCAATTCCAACTTCCCTAGAACTCGCAGATGTTGTGGACGTGCTCACTACCTCACTGTTGGAGTTATTTAAAGCGCATATCGAGGTGAATGTGAACACTTCATTCCAGTGCTTTGGATGTGCTGAAAATTATGCAAACCAACTCGGTCACGAATGCATGACATTCAATAATGAGCGAAAACTTTTAAGCTGTGAAGACATAGCAATTTTAAGCATTGACTTAAATCAGTTGAGTCAAAACTTTGTGAACATAAACACTCACATTTTAAACTATATAAATTCAGACTTTTTTTCAAAACTAAATGTGGAGATGTTAATAAGTAATGCTAAAGACTTGTATGTAGCGTCTGACCCTCAGCCACTCAGATTATTCTAATTCAACGCAATTGTATATATTTCTATTTGTAATTTTTTTTTTCAATCTGTCTATATTTAGCCAAGATTATTGTAATTTATCGCCTAATTTAATTTTGTATGTTACTATTTATGCCTTATCCGATTCTCCTTTATGTCTATATATATATATCTTTTAATCTTTAAATAAATGTGTTTTTGAACTTCAATTTGCTCTCATTTGTGTTTCATACTTTTAGAAGATAGCATTATTTTTATTTTTTCCCTTCTCTCACTCTCTATTAGAATGCGATTGAATGATTTGTATAGTGATCCTGCACTACCGGGAAGTTTCGGAGGGGTGGAATCTTTGTTCCGTTCGATGAAGGGAAAAGTGCCTCGAAAGGAGATAAGAAAATGGCTATCGTCGCAAAACTCGTATACTCTTCACAGAGGCGTGAGAAGTAATTTTAAGAGGAATCGGGTAATGGTCAGTGGTATGAATATTCAGTTTCAAGCTGATATAGCTGATTTAAAAGGGATAACAAGTTTCAATGATGGTTATCGCTACATCTTAACATGCATTGATGTGTTTTCTAAGTATGCCTGGGCTTTCTCATTGAAACGAAAGAATGCCACGAGTATCTTATCTTCGTTTAAAGAAATATTTAAAGAAAGGAAACCTTTTAAGTTGCAAACCGATCAGGGGAAAGAATTTCTCAATAAAAAGTTTCAATCTTATCTGAAAGAGGAAAAGGTAAAATTTTTCACTACATTTAATCAAACTAAGAGTTCTATAATTGAAAGATTTAATCGCACTTTGAAGACGAAGCTTTGGAAATATTTTACTGCTAAAAGCACTTTTAGGTTTATCGATGTGTTAGAAAGTGTAATGAAAAGTTATAATAACACTTATCACCGCAGTATCAAAATGGAGCCAGCTAAAGTGACAAAAGAGAACGAAAAACAAGTTTTAAATCATTTGTATGAAAATGCTCCTTTACACAAAATAAATAAGTGCACATTTAAAATCGGAGAAAATGTACGCATAGCAAAATCAAAAATGATATTTGAAAAAGGATATGAAAATAACTTTTCTGAAGAAATATTCACTATCACTCGTTGTATCCCCAGAATACCCCCAGTGTATAAAATTAAAGATTTGATGGAGGAGGAAATTCAAGGCACATTTTATGCTCAGGAATTACAGAGAATTGTTCTTCCTAAAACATTCCCCGTTGAAAAAATTTTAAGAAAACGTCTTCGCAGAAATAAGTTACAATATTTAGTTAAATTTAAAGGCTACCCTAATAAATTCAACACGTGGCTTCCTTCAAATGACTTATTCACCTTATAAAAATGAGATGACACCTTCTCGCTACATCATTCGACACAATGAGTTTCTATATAACACTACCGAGCGATGCTTCCATGGACATTTTCCCAGACAATGTAATGTCACATTTTCACACTAAGCTCCCTAGAAGATTGGAACTCTTAGGTGAATGGGAGATCGGTTTAGTGGAAATAATTTATCCCAGAATGTGGAATAACATAGTCGAAGGTGAAAATACATATGAATACGATTTAGGGAACGGAGTAAAAAAAATAAACTCCATTCCATGCGGTTTTTACGAATCAGTTAATGAAATTATCGGTCAGTTTGAAAAAAATATAAAGATACAATTAGGATATAACAAATTCTCAAAGAAAGTTAAACTGCAATTGTCAAACGGTGCTACACTCCGCTTGTCTAAGGGATTAGCTGAAAGTTTAGGTTTTCCTTCCGATGAGGTATTGGGGGAAAATATGATACCTCCGGGTACGTTTACTATGGAAAGTCCTTTTGTAGCAGATCCCAACGTCGATTTACGTTTATTGTATATATATACAAACATTATACAAAATGAAATAGTGGGTCATATGGTAGCCCCTTTGTTACGAATTTTGACAGTTAAAGGAAAAGACGGAGAAATGGTTCATGCGCAATTTGAAAGACCGCACTATTTACCCCTCAGTAGAAAAAACATTGAATCAATCGAAATAGTTATAAGAACTCACTCAGGTCGTTACGTGTCATTTGAAAGAGGGAAGTTGATAGTGAAGCTTCACTTTCGCTTAAAAAACTTATAAGCTTGGAATAAATTATTTTCAATCAAAACAAAATGTATCAAAACTATCACTGCTGTACAAAATCTTTTGAAGATTATTATTCGAATCAAGCAGGAAATGGATTATCTTATTATAAAGGTGTATCTCTTCAAAGAGGAAGTGGTTTAGGTGGAATTTTTAAAAGTATGTTTCGAATGGTTTTACCTTTATTCAAATCTGGTGCGAAAGCTGTGGGGAGACAAGCTCTCAGATCGGGTGTGGACATAGCAAACGATTATATACAAGGCAAGGATTTGAAAGTTGCTTCGAAACAGCGTATTAAGGAGGCATCTAAAATACTCACCAATAAAGCTGCGGATAAAGTAAAAACTATGGTTGGCGGACATAAAAGGAAACGTAAAAGCAGAAAATCTGTTAGTAGTAAAAAGTACCGCAAAGTGTGCACACCTGATATTTTTAGCTAATATGGCATTGATAAGAAATGATTCTTCACCCTCTGTTAAATCCGAACTTGATTTATTTCTCGTGCCTCCCACTCAGACTGCTATAGAAAAAGGTCAATGGTCGGAGTATTATCCCATATCAAGTATCCGTGACGATCTCCCTATAGAATTTAATATATCCGGAAGTTCAGAGGAATATTTTGACTTGAGTGCTACCCAGCTCTACGTTAAAGTAAAAGTTTTGAAAGATAATGCTCCTTTACCCGAAAATACTAAAATTTCTACATGCAATTTATTTTTTCATTCACTTTTCTCTCAAATAGATGTGATGCTGAACGATCGTACCATATCGTCCTCTAATAATACGTATGCGTATAGATCTTACATTGAAAGCTTATTAAACTACGGCTCTGATTATAAGAAAAGTTTTCTAACCTCCGAATGTTTTTACAAAGATACTGCTGGACATCTAGATGAAAATGATCCCTTTAAAGAGAATGAAGGGTTGAAAAAGCGTTCTTCAATGATTGCAAAAGGAAAAGTGTTAGAAATGATCGGAAGTTTACATTGCGATATTTTTTATCAAGACCGCTTATTATTAAATATGGTGGACTTGAAACTAAAGCTCGTTAGAAATAAACCAGAATTTTGTCTTATATCACCCGAAAAAGGAAATTATCAAATAGTGATTGAACATGCGTCTTTATTCGTACGCAAAGTTAAGGTGAGCCCAGGAGTCTTGTTAGGACATGCAAAAGCCTTAGAGAAAACATCAGCAAAATATCCTCTCGATAGAGTATTATGCAAAATGTATTCTATCCCCACTGGATCGTTCTCCTTTTCTCAGGATAATGTTTTCTTAGGTCCACTTCCAAAACGATTGATTTTAACGTGCATAGATAATGATGCCTTCAACGGTACTTATACCACTAATCCTTTTAATTTTAAACATAATCATGTGAATTTCGTTGGTGTGTATGTGGATGGTAATCCAGTGTGCTACAAACCTCTAACTCCAAATTACGAGGATGGGCAATATATTCGCTCTTACAACAGTTTGCTATTAGGAACTGAGAAATTAGCAAGTAGCAAAGGAATTTACATAAATCGTGACGAATTTTCTAAGGGGTATACACTGTACGCTTTTGATTTAACTCCTGATTTGTGTGATGGAAGTTATCTCAATTTAATTCGTCAAGGAAATTTAAGAATTGAGCTCAAATTCGCCAAACCTCTACCTAAAACAATTTCGATGCTGGTTTATGCGGAATTCCAAAACGTAATCGAGATTACGAAATCTAGAAGCGTTTTGTGTGATTTTTCAGTATGAACACAATACAAATTGAAGGAATATTAAATAAAGATGTTTTCACTCGATCAATGTTCGCTGGTGTTTTTGCAAGTGATAAAATTCCAAAGCGAATAAAGAAATTTCCTACAGCATTTATCGTGAATACAGATCCTTACAGCAAACCAGGAAGTCATTGGTTAGCAATTTATGTAGAGTCGCCTCATTCAATTGAATTTTTTGATTCATATGGACACTCACCAGACTTTTTTAACAGCTATATTCGGAATTATCATAAAAAATATAAATGTGTTACTTATAATGATGTTCCTCTGCAAAGTGATTTGACTGCTGTCTGTGGGCAATATTGTATTTTTTATTTATATTTTCGCTGTAGAAACCGACCAATGAAATTTATTGTTAATTCCTTTCAAGCAAAATCTATGCAAAATGATGAACGAGTGTATAATTTTGTGAAGAAAAAACTGTATCGTGAATGTGTACCATTTTTCATTGCATAATAAAGTGTATAAATAAATGTAATGCGTATGTATTTCCTTCATTTATCATTATGGAACCATTGAGATTAAAAGCACCCTTCACAGCCCTGATTTGCGGGCCTACGTCTTGCGGTAAAAGTCACTTTCTAAAGAATTTTTTAAGTAATCATAGTAAATTAATCTTTCCAAAAATCGATACAATTGTTTGGTTTTACGGAATATATCAAGATTTATATGACGAAATACCTAATGTAACTTTTGTAGAAGGAATACCTGAAAATTTCAGTAGTTACGCGAGTAAAAATACTCTATTTATTTTAGATGATTTGATGTCTGAATGCGGAGATAATAAGCGGATTACTCACTTGTATACTCGAGGATCGCATCACATGAATATATCGATTGTCACTGTGAGTCAGAATATATTTCATAAAGAAAAAGAATTTAGAGAAATATCTTTAAACTCTCATTATTTGTTTCTATTCAAATCTAGACGAGATGTGAGTCAGATATCGCATTTAGGAAGACAATTATATCCCGGAAATTTAAAATTTTTTCTCGAAGTATTCGAAGATGCTACAAAAAAACCCTACTCCTATTTAATGATAGATTTAAGACCCGAAACAGAAGAAAACCTCCGTTTGCGAGCGAAAATATTACCGGGTGAAGAAACGTGTGTTTATCAATTGAAATAAAAAGAATCAGCTCAAATTGTTTGTAACCATTTGATATCATGGGTGCTTCCAAGCAGGATATGCAAAACCTCAGACTAATATTGATCTGTCCTAAAAATTCGTTGAAATCGCTACTGAGAAAATTGCCCAAAACAACAATAAAATGTATATCGGAGTGCTGTCTAAACACATTAAAAGGGAATATTCCAATCTCTTCACATCAAAAGAGAAAGTTAGCTCGTCATAAACATACATTGAGAAAACTCTCTGACAAAAAGGTCTCCTTGAAAAAGAAGCAAAACCTCATCGTTCAAAAAGGGGGATTTTTACTGCCACTCCTTTTACCCGCTGCGCTCAGTGTTTTAACTTCTCTGTTAAACAAGTAAATATGGAATATGCTAAAAAGATGATTTTAGTACCCGAGCACATTGTATCACGTCACGTCCCACCCGATGAAAAACTCAGTGAACTGGATCGTGAAATGAAAGAAATATTGCAATCTCAAATGGACGAAGATGTAAAAATAAAAATGTACAATCAAGTATTGTTAAAGAGAATAAAAATAGATGTATTAAATTCACCCGTAACAAATCAGGAGACTCGCTCTGAAGAATTAACTGAAATGAACTCGGAAATGGAGCCTGAAATGAAAGAGGAAAATCATATTGAAAGTTTAATGTTATCTTCAATTCCAAAGCAGTTTACATCGACCACGAAGAATATTTTAGATGTTTTTAAGAGAAACAATAACATCGTGTCTTGGACACCTGGAGGAGAACTCGTACACAAAGGAACAGTAGTGAAAAATTCAAACATCGTAGATTTGATCAACAGCGTGGTAAGAAAAAGGAAAAGGGACACAGTTATGCCAGGGCAAGAAGAATTCCGTGAAATTCTCAAAGACATTAATTTACCTCGAACATTTGTTAAAAATAAATCTTATGTTTCACAAAAAGGATATTCTCTTGTACCTAAAGTGAAAAAAACTAAAAACAAGCCATTCCAATGGCTAAAAATGTAGTTGTGATAAGGACGTATTTAAAATAATCAATAAATAATTAAATATTAATGATTGTATCTTTTTTATTTTTCACATCATTTCACATTTTATGTATACGTTATAATTCAGCGCTCGCGTGACGCGTGGGGGGGCGGCGGTGCGGCGGCGGCACTCTCCCCTCGTCCCGCGGGACGGCGCGCGCGATCGGACGCGATGATATTATATCATCCATTTACCATATTTATAATCATGTGGCGACTTCGAATACGTCACAAAACAATTTCTATCAATAACATTTATCCTCGCATTACTTGCACAGTATCCATCATGTCATTAGACGGTCGAGTCGTCTCTTTGTTAGTGTTCATTCTGATAAACGTAATACTTTTCACCGCAAATATTTTAAGTACGCACAATGTCATAGACTTATGTCGACAAGATGGAATCGCAATTACGGATAACGTCTCCTTCACTATTTGCAATGATACGTTCGATTTTAAGTACAATGGTAAGAGAAAAATTAGTGTTGTCGCCGCACTTCAGATAATGAACGCAAGCGACCCTGAAAATGGAAACTAAAACCATTATGATAGTCAGCATGTAAATAGTCGTTAAAAAATTGTCGTGAAGAAAAGGGATGAGTACTTAAGTTTTTTTTTTTTTTTTCTTCATCTTAGAAATAATAAGTTTAAAAGCAAGTGGGGGATAACTATTTCGGATAAAATAAAACGGAAAAACATTTTACTGTGCTGATAATGCACAATATATTAAAGCTAAGTGAATTTTTATCGATCGAGAAAAAGGGAATCCTACCTCCTTTGAACAATCAATGATATGGGGAACGAAAACATTGCACTGTTTACGATAAAGTACCCTTTTTCCCTGTCAAGGATAGGGGGGGTTAAGTGGTCACCTGTGTAATGCCCTTTTTTCTTCTAAATTTAAAGCACTATTTTTTTTTTTTTTATTTATTGCTGATGCAAATTTTATGATAAGTTCTCAATATATAAGAGAGACGTCTTAACGTGGTTAAGTGTCAGTAATATTTCCGAGACAGTGTCGGAACCTTCTCACTGTGTACTTTCTGCGAGCGCACCTGACGATGGAGCACATCGTTGTAAATGACATGGAAGATGTGGAGGCCGACCAGGCTATAATGGCTGTATCAGATGTAAGTACTATGCATTTTATTTTCTCCTTTATCCATTTAATTTTTTCCGTCTCTTTTCTATTTTTGCTATTTATTCCTTAGATTTGTCGTTTATTTTATTAATTCCATCTATTTTTATTAATTTTTTTTTTATTTTTTTTATTTACTTATTTTTATTTAGCTTCTATCTTTATTTATTTTTTATTCATTACATCTCTTTCTTCATATTAACGAGTTTTAGATTATAACATCTTGAGGTTTTGCCGTTCTTTTTTTTCTATTCTTTTTAAAACACGCTGTGTTTAAAACAGCTCCAACCAATTTAATGTCCTGAATCAATTGAAGACTGATATTGTGACTATCATAACCTTCTTCTTAACTTTGAAACATTTACTTTTAAATATTTTCTTTATTATAGTATTTCTAGCATATTCCTATAGTGTTATACCTCATTTATTTATTTATATCTCTTTCCCATTTTAGGAAGTGTTAGAAAGGCTTCGTCAAGACTATCCCTGTCCCACATTGGAATCTATAGGAGGTAAAAGGAGATCTTCAGCCGGTGACCATTCGCCTATGAGAGGATATGGCCGAAAACGGATGAGAAAGCTGTCGAGTAGCGATGAGGACAGCTGCCATGAATTGATGAACGACCCCATAGCAGACGAAATTGTTAGAAATATGCCCTCCGATGCAGATATATTGAACCAACATACTCCAAGCGTACGTAAGTTCATTCTTTAGTTATTTTTCCCCCTTTTATAAAATGAATTATACATTATTAAAGAATGTTATCCATCTATCTTTTCAATAAACTATAAAGGAATCCTTTCAGAATATATTAGTGAAATAAATCTAAATTAAGTTTAAATGAGTAAATGTAAACAGAATAATGCATTTTAGAACATATGAAATAAATTTAAGGAATAATAAAAATAAATAAATAAATAAAAACTTATTGTAACTCCTTCTATTGTGTTGACATAATATTTGTTTTAGGAACCGTTTAGCTAATTTTACACTTTCTTTTTTTCTCTTTTACAGACTTCTAAGACCGTTAGGAGCGGCCCAGCGGGGGACCCCCCGAATACGAGTAAGGCGCCCTGTATCGATCCTACAGGAGAGCAGTGTGACAGATCGGCCTTTGATGGAGTTGTTCGAAGCCGTCTACTTCACAGCAGTAAGAACCACGATTTGCTTCTTTTCTTACACGACGTAGAACTAAAGCTTGAGGAAACTCTGACACTAGATATTCTCTCTTCGCCCATTAAATGGTATTTATGCCTTAAGGCTTTGTTTTCCAGGAGAGGGCATAATGAGGAGCGCGAAATAGCTACCTCCTTTTTCCGTAGCTGTAATGTTGTATCACTCAATTGTGATAGTTTGCGAGAGCAAATTAATTGTGCCTTCGCGAAAATTATTTCATCCTTTGATGAGTTTATCGATAGAGGTAGCGGGTGGGTTTTAGAGGAAGTAAACTACTTAGAACTAAATACTTCAAAATACATACCGTTAAGCGGTTCATCTTATATCCCTGTTCCCCCTGAAATTGCGAAAAAGAAAGCTGTGTTAAACATTAAAAATACTGACACTAAATGTTTCCTCTGGGCAATTTTAGCAAGCCTCCACCCGTGTAATGATAGCAAGAGTGCGAATCGTGTTAGCAAATATAGAGAGTTCGAACATGAGCTAAATTTAAAAGGTATAACGTTCCCCATGAAATTAAACCAAATATCTAAATTTGAAAAGTTAAATAACTTGTCAATAAATGTATTCGGTAATGAAGAAAGTAACATTTTCCCCCTTCACTTATCCACAAATCGTAGCGGTGTACATCATATTAATCTCTTACTGATATCAAAGGACGAAACTCAACATTTTTGTTTGATTAAAAGCATGAGTAGACTATTATCTTCCTTAGTTGCGCATAGGTCGTCAACTTTTTACTGCGACTTTTGTCTCCATCGTTTTTACTCTAGAAATGCACTCGATGATCATATAACCTATTGTAAAGAACATAAAATGCAAAAAATAACAATGCCTAGTGATGAAGATCGCATTCTAAAATTCAAATCGGTGCACATGATGCATAAAATACCCTATGTAATCTACGCTGACTTCGAGTGCATTCTAGAGCAAAATACTTCTAATTTAGGATCGCACACAGAAGTTAATTCTCGTCATGTGCCTTGCGGATATTCTTACGTCATTATAGACATTGAAGGGAAATGCGTTAAGCCGCCNAATACTATGTCTTTGATGATAAAATACTATGTCTTTGATGATAATATATTATGTCTTTGTGCTAGAACATTGTGTTCATTGGCGAGCGAGCACAGCGAGCCATGGTTCACGGCGTGAACCACATAGGATTGCGTAGCAATTTTCGGGGGTTGGTGAGCGTTAGCGAGCAGGTGGCGGAGCCTCCTAGTATATTATAATTTAATACTTCATAAAAATATATTACAATTTAATACTACATTTAAAACTGCAATATATTACAATGTAATACTACATTTAAAACTGCAATATATTGCAATAATTATAATCAGCATTACAATACAAATTAGAAAAGATATCATGCCATATATCTATAGCCTGTTTATTAGTGTAATTTAGTCACCTCTCTCGAGATCTCAGTGCTTGAGTTAATATCGAAAGTAGCAACAAAAAAATATATAGAGCTTAGATGTTGCCAAATATCTTATAATTTATATTAAAATTTTTAAATATATAAAAAAAAAACTTTAATTAAAAGAGATAAAAACCCTCTGAATTAAAAAAAAAGCGATAATGGGTGAAAATTAGTACACATAATCTGTATTCTTAAGTCTAAGCATTTTTTCAACTATAGTTGATAATTTTTAATATACAGGTGCGTGTGTATTTGTAATACACTAAATGTTCTTCGTGTTTACAGAAAATACTTACTTAAAAAAAACAATGAGGAATGAAAAGCCAATATGAGGGTTAGAGAGCAGTCCCTTGTGAAGTGATATGTATTTAAGTCAGGCAGAGGCTTAACCCCATTGATTTTTGAGAAGCTCCTTCAGTATTTATAAAGTTTAAACTGAATTGCAACAGTGCATATAAAAAAGGTCGAAAATTATACATTTTTCTGTTTTTACTCGATGTCATTTAAAACAATTTTTTCCAAACACTAAGCCGATTAACAGGCAACACAGCTTGCGTAACTCTGTTTAAATCACTTTTTGATTCCCAAGTAGACTGATAACGATTTTATAAGGTCCCCATTTAAAAAACATCTTAAAACAATTCTTCTGAAAATAAACGTTGCATTTAAAATTTATTAGTTTACAGCACATATAGTTCAATTTTAAAATCAACGTAGATAAGTAACTATACTGTTACAATTCAAATTTGTAAAGAAAAAAAAATTTAAGTAAGTTTAATATTTAAAAAATTTCTTATTTAATTTATATACATCTAAATTTTAACGCATACAAGCTTTAAAAAATACAATTCCTTATGAATGCAATATTTCAATGATTGCTATACTTAAAATCATACAATATGAAAAGCCATGAGCTGTTTAAATGTAGGCAATTTTTATAGTAGTTTAGTAATAGACAAATATCCATGAACAAATAATATGCATAGGTCTGAGGTGTTTTTTAAAGTTAAAACCTCGGTGATATTGAAATTTATTATTATTACAACACGCAATTCTAACTGTAAAAGTTCATCAAAATAATAATGATGTAATTTAAACTTAATTAGGTTTAATAAGATTTGTGTGACTGAAAATTCCACACCATAAAAATTTGAAAGAAAATTTTTCTTCCTTTCTGGGATTCTAAAATACACTATTTATGCTGCTTCCTGAACTAAAACAGTTTTTTTTATTTCCCATCACTAAATACTCCACAATATAAAATTATTTTTTTCTGTACAAAGTCATGAAAAAGTTCTGAATCCTTTATATTTAATTTATATCTACAATCTCATGCATAATAATTTAATGAAAGCGTTTGATATTACTATTCAGAATAAGAAAGCATATGATTAAGTATTAATAACCCAACAAGATTTGCATCGAATTTAGCCAACTCTTCAAATGATTTCGTTGATACAATTGCCTTAAAATTAGTCTTTATATATTCCAATATTTCTTCTTTTAAGGATTCATCTACGCAAATGTTTAAATTTAAATAAGAATGAAATTTTTTATACATTTATTTGATATTTATTTATTGATTATTCATTTATAAATTATTTAAAAATATGTTTTTCATTATTTAAAACTTCATACCTCATCAACTTCAAATGCAATTTTTCTTTCAATCCAAGGCTTCTGAGAAAAATTATTTATGTTGCTTCATTTACTAAAATTATTTTTAATTTCCCACAATTAAATATACTTTATCAACTTCAAAGTTTATGGCTTCGATATAGAATAATAAAAAAAAGTTCTAGATATTGACTTAAATCTTCAACTTCATACACTATCATTTTAACAAAGCGTTACGCATCAATAACACAACAAGGTTTGCATCGTATTTGGCCAACTCTTCAAATGATTTTGTAGCCACAATTTCCTTAACATTGATCATTATATATTCCAATATATTTTCTTTAAAAGATTCATCGCCGTGATTAGTAGCCAAGATCAACAACTGGCATGCATTGTTTACTTGAAGATAACGCAGCAAATCTTTCGCACAAGCATTCCGAAGGGACAGCACTTCATATTTATCAGCGACATAGTAAAGGTCGCAAGCATCGTCAAAAGCATGATTTTCTATTGTGCCGGTATACAGAAATGTGAGGAATTCTTTCATTATAGGAGCACGTATGTCCTTAACATTAATTTCATTTCGGACAGCTTCGCTAGTGTCGTGATCGAACATCTTTTCGAAGACTGGTGATCTTGCTCTTAGAATCACTTTGTGTGCTTTCATGCTGACACCATCCACGTGTATTGTAATGTCAGTACCTATGGCTTGTTCTAGAAGCTTTTTGAAATTTAACGACATTTCTTGCAAGCACTCTGTAGGAACATTGTCACTATTGCTACTTTTTGTCACTATTTCTTTATCAGTGTTCTGATTCAACACTGTTTCTTTAGAAGTGTTCTGATCCGGCACTATTTCTTTAGAGGTGTTCTTATTCAACACTATTTCTTTAGCAGTGTTCTGATTCAACGCTATTTCTTTAGCAGTGTTCTGATTCAACACTATTTCTTTAGAAGTGTTCTGATCTGGCACTATTTCTTTAGCAGTGTTCTGATTCAACACTATTTCTTTAGAAGTGTTCTGATCTGGCTCTATTTCTTTAGAAGTGTTCTGATCCGGCACTATTTCTTTAGAAGTGTTCTGATCTGGCACTATTTCTTTATCAGCACATTGATCCTTTGCTCGTTCATTGCTAATCTCCGGAACAGGCATGCTCATAATTCCTTTGTCAAATATTGAATCTGGCACTATTTTCTTATCAGTATTCGGAAAAACTAGATAACACATAATAGTTATGGGAAAGCTAATGGGAAAATAGCTTCCAAATTCCAGAAGTAATTCGTAACTAAACTCTTCGTTAAAACTCAAAGAAGACATGTGACCATAAAGAGATTCTTTATTTGCATCGAATACCATAGCAGTGTAACAAACATTTAGTTCTGCACACTTTCGACAACTTAACCACAGACCAACCTTATTTGTGTTTGATACATTATATCTGAAACAACACTTGCTTTCCCCTACTGCAAGAAAGTCATCACTGTACAAAAATAATCCAGATCCGTATTTAAATTTATCAGCTTTTAGCTCAGTTAGAATCATTATTTGAGAAACGTTTGTAAAACGAACAATTTTTTGCAGTTGGAGAGGCATAATAAATCAGCTTTGTACCAAGAGAGAAAGATATTTTGCCCAGAATTGAATACATCTGTTCTAAACTGATAAATATTATCTTATTTTTGATCAATTTTGACGATGATTGTTCGTATCACTTAAATATCATAATTTCATAGTGAAAGCGGCTTTCTGGATGTTGATAAAGTTGATTAATAAAGATAACGAATAAACTCCTTGTGTCCAGAATCAGTTTCACATTACACTACCATCATATGAAATAGCTTAGTTTATTTATTATTAAATGAACTTTCCTCATTTTGAACCCATATTTTACTCGGAACTCAATTATTACAAAACAGTGGTGATTCAAAAAATTTAAAATATTTTATCGAATTTCACTCATTTTAATTTAAGTTATTATCACTTTTTTATTATTATTAATTTAATATTTTGATTTAATATCAGTTTTTTTGTAAGTTTTATTGCAAAAGGCTTTTTTTTTTAATAAACCTTCAGAAATATATTGCTCTCTAGAAATATAGCACGCTAATTTTGCGTTAATAACGTTGGCATTTTCAGTACAAAAAAAATTGGAATTGTTATTTAAAACGGAAGATAGGGAGAATTCTTTATTGTTAATTACTTTTAATCAAATCGATAGACACTTGGTAGAAAAATAGTGCTATCAGACCTGTTAGATTGTGAAGTTAAAATTTTTTGATAACAATTAATGACGTTTTCAACATTTTAATTACTTCCATCGTAATAGTATTTACTAAACTGAGAAAAAAGTATTTTTAGATCTAATGCACAATATAATTCAGTACTAAAGGAGAAAATATAGCAAAGGGTATTTTATTTATTTATTTTACGGTCTAGTAGTTTTAAATTACGTCAAATTGGTTTGGACAGGCAAAATGTTTATAATTTATAGTAATTTTCAATATCTTCAGGCACAAATATCAAGATAAAAAATCAGAATTATACCTATAGTATCAAACCTGTCCTCGTAATATTCAGATGTCCATTCAAACGTAACGTTTATCCCAGTTTCTACTGTACCCATTAGAGTTGCAACTTCATCAATTTTCGTACAGTTCACAGCAGGTCCTTCAAGTTTCAGTCCACTCAAAAGGCTTATAACTCGAACAAAAGTTTCTTTTTCATTTTTCAAATCATCAGAATAATCACTCGTCAGCTTTGCTCTCACTTTATATATACCGGGCTAAAAAAGTATAAGATAAAAAGGTTTTAGAATATTTCCTCTTTAACTATTACTTTATTGTATGTTTGTTTTTAAAAAAATGCATTAAAAATGTTTTGATAATTTTATAATATACCGATTGTTCCAAAAAATTACTGACGTGTTGAAAATTTTGAAGGAAATAGGTGTTTTACGCCTTGTTTAGGAAGCCAGAGGATTTATTCGCACTTACATTCAGAATCAATATCAAAATTTGACATCAGATGGCGCTGAAAACTAAATGAACTTGCAAAGCAATATTTTCGAAACAGCCTGTTTCCAGCATTACTTGGTGCAGTCCTAGAGCAAAATTAACAGACTTTTGTGCAAATATTTCGTGTGTAACGGTCTGAAGAGCAGAAGGCAACATTATAGTATAGTTTTTTGAGTTGTCTGTTGACATATCTTGCTACTAATCTGTAACTAATTTTTAAAGTTTGATGATTAAAAGTCAGGTTTCTTAAGCAGAATGAAACAAGCCGTACGTTTCTGCTTTCTGTCCATACTTACATAAAATATTATTATAGAAGCTCAAATATTATAGCCAAATATACTACTTATAGTCTCTGAAATATTATAGCCAAATATACTACTTATAATCACTCAAATAATAATAATAATAGCCAAATATAATACTTATAGCAGCTCAAATATTATATCCAAATAAACTACTTATAGCAGCTCAAATATTATAGCCAAATGTACTACTAAATGTACTATAACAGCTCATTTCATATTCTTAGGCCAGAAATTTGAACGTATTCCAAAATGTTGAAGAGTTCAAATTTTTTTTTCTAAGCTAATTAATTTATGTAGTTTTCCGCATAAATTTAGTTGCTCGATTTTAAATGTAGCATAATCTAATTTTAGGAATTATTGTTTTAGAAGATTTTTAGGAGAAAAAAAATTCTTCTTAACACTTGGTTAACTATTATTAGTAGTTTGGAAGAAAATGAGACTTCGATAGGTTTAGCATGGATATCTTTTCAATATTTATAAAGATTTGTGTCATGACAATTTCGAATTTAATTTTTCGTTTAAAAGGGAGAAGTAGCAATTGCTTTATTTTGTAGTTCAATATTAATTTTCAAGGAGCTATGAAATACGCGATTAAATATTATGAAAATGAATAGTTTAAAAAACTAACCTTTCCTTTCTTGATTTTAGAATTTTTTTCCAAGATTTAATAAAAAGAAATAAAAAATTCAGCAAAATTTGAAAATAAAAGTATATTTGTTTAGAATCAATCAAGAAGATTAATCCTTTACACTCGAAGGGTTACAACGGTTAAAAAAAAGAGCGTAACTAACCACAAACCCTAAGAGCTTAAAAGACAAAAATCATTGTCCACATGTGTATCACACAATACCATATTACTAAATGTAATGGTCACTACATTTTAATAGAGTTGTAGGTAATTTATAAGTGACAGTGATGTCTGTGTGACACCTTTCGAGTGCAAAGGTTTAAAAGTTTGGCTTAAAAAAGAAATGTAGTTTAAAAATAGTTTTGTAAGAGGTCATTTCTAAATATAACAAAACAACTAACATACTTAGTAATAATTCCTATAAGCCAAATAAACTATTTCCAATTGCTTTGTAAAAGTGTTAGATAAAGCGTAATATATAATATAAGTGAAAGAAAATCTTACTTCGGTAAAATTGTGGTGAAATGAAATATTGGTTGGAATTAAGAGAATTGTTCTGATGTGGTGTCGGATATTCAGTGCTTCTCCTTTCTCATTCGTGTCCACCAAATTAAACAAAATATCTTCCTCTTTAGCATTTCCAAACATCAATTTGGTAGGTTTTTCCATCTTCAACGCTATTATATCGCCTGGCTCAATCTGTAAATAGCATTACTTATCATATAATGTGCAGAAGAAATATTGATATTTCATTTATATAGGGTGTCTGGTAAATGATGTATAATTAAGATTAAGAATTGCATAGAAACCAATGTATGGAAATATCATCATAAGCCGCTAGGGGCTCTTTCTTATCATGAAGTGCTTCTATGTGTGTCGTTAAACAGGCGCTTTTATATATCTAAATTATCTTTATTTTTATGGTAATTTTGTGTTTTCTAAAAGCTATTGCCCAAAATTCTATTTAAATTCATTCAGTAATAGATTTTATACTGTAATTTAATAATTTGGCTACTAATTTGACATTTTGGCGGAATTGTTAAACTACTGTAAAAAAGCAATTTATGCATTTCTTTGAACGCAATTTTAGACGATAATTATTAGAAAAACAAAAAATTGGGATTCATAAAGATACCTGTTCACAGGTACATGTAGAAGCAATCCATTATAGGAAAAAGCTCCTAGCGGCGTACAGTGACTTTTCCTGTCTTGGGTCCTATGCAATTTTATACCTGATTGTGTGGTTGAAGAAAGATAGAACTTACCAAAAAGTTTGTTGCAGCATTTACGAGACACTATTTTACAATCCAGCAGCTTTTAACGACTGGCTCTCTTTTTACTTTTGGAGATTTTACTCGTGGTTATAGTTGGTAGCAATTATAAAGCAAGCTTTTATTTCTCTTATAATTTATCATCTACACTAAAAAACTCATTTAAATTTTTTTTTCTTCATTTTTATTTTAGAAAATACCGAACAGGAAGGGGACGAATCGTTAAATGCCGCTGGATTGGAAAATCGCTTACGGGACAACCTGTATTTTGCATTAATTTAATTTCTCTGTTTCAGTGAATACGATTCGGCTTGAGAGAAAATTGATAGGTCTTACGTAATTATAAGATGATTACGGTTCAAGAGTTACATATTCTCAATAAAACTTAAAAAATCACAACTATAATGGATAAAAGTACACTTAAAATAAAAGAAACAAAAAAGAAGGAAAGGGAAAAAAAAGAAAAAAACTAATGCTTCACGTGGAAAGGGCAATAACACATTGTTCTATCTGCTTCTAAATTAAGCGAAGTGGAAAATGTAATTTTCTAGCGAAAAACTTATTATACTGAACTTAATATACCGAAACAAATGTAAAGTATGTCTAAAATAGTTAGTGACTGAATAGCTATTTTTACAGGTGATAGAACATCTATCTTTACCTCATCAAGTTTAACATTTTACCAATTTTTTCAAAAACATTTTTTGTATGAAAGTCCTGAAGTAAAAAAAGTTTTGAAAAGCTTTTTTTTGTTGTTGTTGAAAGTATATTTAATAGCTCGTTGAGAGCTAATATACAAAAATTAGTAATCACCACTCTTAAAATTAATTCTTATAAATTCTGCAAAAAATAAATAATATTATTAAAATTAAAAATCATAAATTATTAATAAAGTAAATAGTATCAAAAAACATAAAAGAAAACGAACTCTGATGAATCATTATTGGTGTCGATCAAATCAATAGAGAAAAAAACGATGTTGCATTGGTTGATTTCGAAACTGAATGATCGCAGTATAATTATAATTTCATTTTATTTTACCTACATATTGATTTGTTACTTTTTAACATTTTTTTAATCATAAATGTAATTTTTTTTTGCTATAAAAATATTTCGAAATGCGCATCAAATTGTAAAGCTTCCATGCAGATATTTTACTTCTGATAAATACGCACCAACTCAATATTGAATAAAGATTTTTTTAATAAAAAAAATACTGTATTTTTATGGATTGATAAGCAGAAAAATGAAATAGACAAATCCTTACTTCAACATAATCCACCTCTTTCAGAGGAAAATAGTTGTAACCTGGTGTATCTATTTCAACTTCAATATTCGATTTTGGAGTGTAATTATCTTTCAGTTCAAGAGTACAAAAAGATTGTTCGTCGATAGTAGCACATGTTTGAGACATGGAGCAAAATGACTCTTTCTCTACATTGCAGAGGCATTCTCTTTTGGGTGGACAAGATTCTTGGCACGTTGCAGAACAAAATTTTTCATCCCCGTCGCATTTAGGTTGTAATATCTAAAAATGACGGGAGGGGAGATCATTTCAGATTATTTATTTGTTTACAAGGCAAGATAAAAATAATAGAAGAGATTGCACAAATTAGAAAAAGAAAATACAAAGATATACCCAGGGTTGCGACTGAATTCGAACCTGCTACTTTTACGCTTCAGTGAATGTGGCAGAAATGCAGCTATCGGCCAAGTAGTTGTTGTTGTTAATTTACGTCGCACTAGAACTGCACAATGGGCTATTGGCGACGATCTGGGAAGCATCCCGCAGGATGATCCGAAGACATGCCATCACAATTTTGATCCTTTGCGGAGGGGATGGCACCCCCTCTTCGGTAGCCCGACGATCTGCGTGTGAAGTCGAGCAATTTACGGTAGCACAGTTTAACGAGGACCAACACCGCACGCCCTCGGTCCCTACGCAGACTGATCCAAGTGGTCACCCACCCGCACACTGACAGCAGCCAGTGATGCATGACTTCGGTGATCTGCTGGAAACCGTGTCTTAACGATCAGTCCACTGCTGGACATCGGCCAAGTAGACCCCACTATTGTTGGTAATCTTGTTTCACTTATAATTACATGTGCAAATGCAGTTGTTGAATTACATTTACGTTGCACTAGAGCTGCACAATGGGCTATTGGCGACGGTCTGAGAAACATCCCTGAGGATGATCCGAAGACATGCCATCACAATTTTGATCCTTTGCAGAGAGGATGGCACCCTCGCTTCGACCTGCACGCGAAGTCGAGCACTTTACGGTAGCACAGTTTAACGAGGACCAACACCGCACACCCTCGGTCCCTACGCAGACTGATCCAAGTGGTCACCCACCCTCACACTGACCGCAGCCAGCGCTGCTTGACTTCGGTGATCTGCTGGGAACCGTGTCTTAACCATCAGTCCACTGCGGAACCATATGCAAATGCAGGCGTGTATGTTCATTACAATAAACAACTTGTAAGCCCTTGTCAAATTGAAGAACGGATATATACGATGTAGAGAAGGGTGTCCAGAAGTTTATCTATGGTTACGATGGGATTCAAACCTGCTACCGAGTTCTTAGCAGAATAGCAAGACCACTAGACCAGAGAGATTTTTTATTTAGTTTGTGGTTTCAAATAGATATGCCGGCGTATGTGCTCAATACAAAGGTGGCTTATAAGCTATTGTAAAATTGAAGATCGGATAGCATAAATTAAAGGAAAAAAGGATGATACATCTAGGTTTACAGGGGGATTCGAACTTTCTAACACCACGCAAGAAAGCGTTTGGCAGATTGGTGAGACCGCTTGGCTAGCGAAATTACCAGAGGAACCTTGGTAATTTGATAAATGTGAATAAGTAAATTGCGTTTTGCATTCAATTGGGATTCGAACCCGCTACCTCCGAACTATTGAGTTTTTAGGATGTCAGTTTCGTCATTCGGCCATAATTACACTTAATTGCGTTCTAGTTTCAATCGGACAATAACGAAAATGCTAAATTAGTGAAGTTTGCTTAATTTTAACTAAAAATTTTGCTTTAAAATTTGTATAATTTATTGTCATTAATTCATTGCTTTTGGTTCATAATAATATGAACTGAACTGATCTGCGCCCCCAAAAAACCAGCAGTTAAATTTCTATACTTATATTTCAAATTCACTGCTTTATTTTTTTCAATTTAATACTCTAAGAAAAGAAATCCCTAGCAGAGATTGAGTAAGGGGAAAAGCTAAAACAAATTTTTTTTAATTTTGTTGCCATATATATATATATATATATATATAGATATATAAATATATAATCAAATAGACACTCAATGAATCTTATTATTATCTGACT